AAAAAAATACTACAATAATAAATGGCTTGAAATTTGCTTTGGAAGGAATATCAGCCCTTTTATATGATGCAATCTAATGTATTACGATAATAATTTGAAGAACAAGAACTGAACATATCTACAATTGGACACTAAAAGAATACTCCCACTTTATTATTTAACAGATTGTAATAGTGGAGTGATTTGTTTAAAGGAAAACTGCGGTACTTTGCAGAGTCTTATTTTCATAATTGTTGCTGTTCTGACTGTTCATGCCAACCTTTCACTTGTCTTGACTTCAGGATTATATTAAGGCAGACAGCTTTAGCCTCCTACAGCTTTCCAAAAAAACTCAGATTTTACGTAAATCATTTTTAAATGCTCATCTATGAGTCGGACCAAAAATAAACACAGAAATTAGACCCCTAGATTAGCTATTGTTCCTTACTGCATAGGAGTCTACTTTCCAGGGTTGCCAGCTAACCAAACTAGATATTTATCTTCAGTAGTGACATGTATTACTTATCAGGTCATACATTGTGATTCTATTTCAGCACAGGTAAACATATATATTACTAAAATGTCCTAAAAGGCATTTGCCTTCAAGGGGCTGTAATCATTTTTCAATTAATTTGTCTTCCCTATTATGTAACTTATTTCCTTGTCTGTGTACTCTGATTAATTTATGTGGTTGGTTCCAAGTAAAATGAAAATTGATAGTAACACACAGCCTCACCCTTGTAAACAAACATAGCCGACAAGTTATCTAATCATGGTGGATGCTTTCTGTGTTCATTTGTGTTCTGGCAGTTTATTCAAAAAAATGATGTCGTAGATGTTGTTTTGCTGGTGTCCACATTTCCCAGTTTCTCTCTGCTAGAGGTGGCGAGTGCAAAGTTAGCATGCGCCAATGTCAGAACGGCCACAATTATGAGAATAAATGCCAGGCTGAAAAACACTGCAATTTTCCTTTGTCAGATCACAACATCAGAGCCCCAAAGTGCTGGGCATCTCTATGTTACAAGTGACGAGATTAACACACAGAAGCGGCAAGAAAAGTGTGGCAATTATAACAGGTGCTACTAACATAATGAGAGTGGTGAGTGGGGGGTCGTGCACCTGTCCACAGACTGAAAAGTACGTCTCATGGACCTTAAAAAAGACATTGTCTACCAGAAATCCGTAACCCTTACACCAAGACACATTGGCCCAGTCTTCCACGCAATGCTTCAGTTTGTTGTAGATGCTGCAAGAGAAGAGAGCAAGGACAAAGTTAAGGTGGTGAATTCATATTAACCTGCAGGCTGAGAGTTAGATATCGATAATTCAGACTGAACTTTCCTGAAGCGGTTTAGTCAAGGGTACAATGTACATCATTCCTGTATTTCAGTTTCACAGTTGCACAGTGAAGCAATAGCTAGCAGCACTGCCATGCAAAAGTCAAATATATGTTCACTGTGTTTCCAGTCTCTGCATATTGACTTTAATTTCATTTGGAAATGAATAGAAGACAGTGTCAAAGCATTTACAAATATTTCCACATTCAAATGAAATTAATAAGTAACAAACATCAAAATTCATTAATTACGTTACAGCTAAGATGGGCGACATGACAGCTCCAGGCTGTCACAGAAATGCAACACGCTTTCCAGCATTTTCCAGGTGACCAGCAGTCTGAAATAGGATCTGTCAGAATGATGGAATCAATGACAAAATCTCTATGAAGGTGTGCTCTGATTAAAAAAAAGATTGGGAACCAGTGAGCATGGTTTGGAAAGTGGTCACCACTGTATATGATTTAAAGTTAATTGGCTAAAAAAGCCTGCTGGTGTGGTCCTTTAAACCTGCAACTTTAAAGTTTAAACTTTTAGATAATGCAAAGTGAGCCAAAAACATCTACCCTAAGCATTTTACAAATGGAGAAATCGCCCACTGATGTTTAGGAGGCAGCTTACGTTTCACTGCTAAGTTTTGATATGTCACGTCCTCTGGGTGGAGAAGCGACCATAGCCGGCATAAACCAGCATAAATCATGCGAACTGTTGTCACTACAAGACTTTAGTGTGGAAAACATCCACTGAGATTGAATTAAGCCTGACAGCTGGAAGCCTGATCAACATGCTGGGCTCCTTGTGATGATGGACACTCCACCCATACACTATTTGAGCTCTATGGGAGCTCAGACCCAACAGTAAAACAGGGATTATTACAACTGTAATTAAAGTCTACGGTCTACTGTAGCACGGCGAGAGTGAAAGTCTCCACAAATAAACTGCTGTATGGAAATACGAGCCCAGGAGCAACAGTCTAGCACTTTTTCATCAAGTTGCGTAATTAGCTGAAACTTTGACCAGCA